CCACAACACTTGTGGTGTTCTTGTCTCTTCCAAGAGGACCACCTCCTTCTCGCAGATTCTTGAAACAGAAATGCTTTTCCTTTCTCCAGAATGCCAAGTGTTATTTTGTGAGACTTTCTGGTATGCCTACAAGCTTGAAGGAGTGGGCTACTTGCTAAAACAGCATAATAGCAAAAAAAAAAAACCCCAAAAAACCAGTTTGGCTGTTGACAAATCAACCCTTTTTAGAGTTTGGTGTATCTGTAATCCCCCAAATTAACAATTCAGAATAGATTATTTCTGTTCTCAATAGCAGCTGGAGATTGCCATGCCATTGTAGCAATGGATTCACTGGAGGCTCCCAAATTTTTGAGTTACATCCTTAAGGATGTTCCTCTTCCACCAGCACATCAAAACATTTTCAGCACCAGGCTTTTACAATCTGAATAGGATGGGGCTTTCATGCTACTTGTAAAGTTTGTACCTAATCTTTTGGTTACTTTTAACTTTATACATTGTTTGCTTTCTAAATTTTATATTTTGTGTTTTTGCAGAGTTTTAATATGTATTGTTTTAAATATATATGTAGCAGCCTTGATTCCCATTACTGGGAGAAAAGTAGGATATAAGTTAACAAAAACAACAAGGACAAAGACAAATCAATGTTGTTTCTGAAAGGAACTAAATTAAATACAATAGAAAAGTCTGATTTAAAAGAAAATGAGGTCAAATATTACAAGAGTATGGCTTTGGTATGAGCTCTCACTGTAAAAATTGTAGTCTCAGAACCTAGAACCTCCACTTAAAGGAGAGCAAAATAGACAAGATCAGGATTGACCAAGAGGTTTTTATTTTTTTAAAAAAATCAGTTTTTTTCTTCATTGAAATTGGATTTTTTTGTGTTGAACTTTTAAAATACAATTCAGGTGTCAACATTTTCATAATACTGTTTGGTAAAATAGAATCTAGGAGAATATGTCCATTATGTATATTAAATATAGGACTTTGAAGTATATTCTACTAATATATTAACATTTTATAAATATGGGAGATAACCTAAAAATTCTTTTCTGCAGGTAGTGCACATAAAGGAGCCTCTCTCTCTCAGCTATGCCCCTCTCTATGCAAAGATAGTTAATAAAAACATATCCAAACAATAAGAGGTATAATACTGTTTTAACATTTGTATATTTATATATTTAAAGTTGCATTGCAATGCTTTCTTTTGTGAGACGCTTTGAGTCTCCGTATAGAGAGAAAAAGCAAAACATAATAATAATAATAATAATAATAATAATAGTAATAGTAATAATAATAATAATATAGTAATAATAAAAAATAAGAATCTAGATGTAAATACAAGGATTCCCATGTTTGGGATGAATTGGAAATCAAACTGAAAGAAATTCAGAATAATTACTTGGTTATCTACCCTCTAATGAGATAGCTTATCATGCATTGAAAGCTTGCAACAATATTAAATAATACAGATTTATTAAAACTGATAAAGTAGAATCTTTATCACTAATGATTTAAACTGCAATTTTAGAAAATTGTGTCCTTTAGAAAAAGCATTCTATTTAAGTGAAACCCATCTCTGAGGCCCAAGACTCAAAAGAGTCATGTTGGCTAAAGAAACTACTGGAGATATACTTCTGATTTAACTTTTCCCAGGGTCTGCATCCAGTATACATAATCTTCAGACAGATGGGTCACTAGTTCTGTCTGGTAGAAACAAAATGCCTTTACCCTCAAGACCCAGTTCCCACAATCCAAGAACGTCATCCAGCAGTAACTAGGCAATGAGTTTAATGCCACTGAAAAGTACACAGGGTCAAGGCTCCTCTCATCATCATTTGTTCAGCTGCTGTTCTGATATCAAATGTGAACTAAGCCTTTTGCCTGGCAGCAGGGTGCTGAGGGCTCTGGCAAGATTCTAAAAGCTTAATCCCCAAAACAGTAATTATGCTTTATTAGAATACAATTTCATAGGAATTGCATGTACTTCATAAACACAAGTTTTCAAATAATACACTACTCACATAGACCAGTTGTGTAATCCTAGAGAAAATCAAGAAAACTTGCTGCTTGTGTTCCAAGGTAGCTGAAGTTGTTGAGATACCTGATAATAATCATAACTCTTGGAACTGGGTTGTTGAACAAGTAGGAAACAAATTCCTTAAATAATAATGCAGTCTGCTATCTTTTAATTACGATTAGATGCAGGTAGCACTGTTGACCACCGCAACCGAGTGATTTCGTATCTCTTAATGCTATCCTACTATAACTTTCTCCCTAAACATAAACAGTTTCTGGGTTGCTGTGAGTCTTCCGGACTGTATGGCCATGTTCCAGAAGCATTCTCTCCTGATGTTTTGCTCACATCTATGGCAGGCATCCTCAAAGGTTGTGAGGTCTGTCGGAAACAAGGCAAGTGAAGTTTATACATCTATGGAATGTCCAGGTTGGGAGAAATAACTCTTGTCAGCTTGGGACAAGTATGAATGTTGAAATTGGCTATCTTGATTAGTATTAAATAGCCTTGCAGCTTCAAAGCCTAACTACTTCCTGCCTGGGGGAATCCTTTGTTGGGAGGTGTTATCTGGCCCACATTTGCATCAAGCAGACCAGAGTTCTTTCTTCCACCCTGGACATTCCACAGATATATAAACCCCCTTGCCTAGTTTCCAACAGACCTTACAACCTCTGAGGATGCCTGCCATAGATGTGGGCTAAATGTCAGGAGAGAATGCTTCTGGAACATGGCCATAGAGCCCGGAAAACTCATAGCAACCCAAAAACTGTTTCTGTTTAGGGAGGAAGTTATAGTAGGATGGCATCAAGCGATGTGAAACCACTCAGTTTCTGTGGTCAACTGAGGAGATAATGTTTCTGGAACACTGCCATACAGCCCAAAAAACTCACAGCAACCCAATAAAAATGTCCCTCATTACTTTTGCCTTTTCTGGGTGGATATCCTCCAGGACAACTTCACAATAGCCTAAATGCAATCCCTAATATCCTAAATACAGTTCTCAAGGAGTAGCAGCACCATTATTATTATTATTATTATTATTATTATTATTATTATTCTGATATAAAAACACAGCAAATGAGATATATATGCTGGATTTCGTATCACAAAATCACAAGTCGAACACTTTCCAAGCGTCTAGGACTGTTTTATTATTGCTATTATTATTACATTACGAGAGAATGCTTCTGGAACATGGCCATACAGTCCGGAAAACTCACAGCAACCAAGTGATCCCAGCCACGAAAGCCTTCGACAACACAGAAAGTTTCCTTTACGAACTTAAAGTGAATAGGCTTCATGCATTTCAATCACTCAAAATTTCCACTGGAGTTGTAAGGGAAAGAGGTGGGGGAAAAGTCAATGAGACCAACTTGATGGCTTTGAATGCTGGGCAAACACAAGCAACATGCATTTTGCTTTAGCTTCATAGCAACTATTTGTGTTCCAGCTTCACTTTTCTATATTAGAAGAGAGAGATTAAGGGATATTTTGGGGGGGGGGGGACAAATCTCAAAATAATAACAAGAACCTCACAACCTCTGAGGATGTCTGCCATAGATGTGGGCAAAACGTCAAGAGAGAATGCTCCTGAAACATGGCCATACAGCCCAGAAAACTCACAGCAACCCAGTGATCCCGGCGACGAAAGCCTTCGACAACACAATCACAAAATATGTATCTGATTACTCCTAAAAATGAGGAAAGCATGAAACTTCGTTCACTAGTTTCTAGCCAGACGCCCTACCATGCAGCACACACTTTCCCCTCCACATGTAGTTCCTTTACCATAAATAGCTCTCTCTTATGGCTTCTGATTTAATCCGCAGGTTAATTGCATCAGAAACCTAAGCCTGTAAGAAAAAAAAAGCAAAACTACGAGAAGGGATCACACTAGTTGATCCTGGGACAGTTTCTGCCAAGGAATGAGAGAGAGGCTTGCCGGGCTTAAGGATGAGTCATTCTTTTAAAAACCCAGCACCATGTAAGGCACTCCCAACAGATGGCCATCCATCCTCCATAAAAGGAGACTCCACAACAGAAGCTGGGTCTACAGTACCAAGATTAGATCCCAGATTATCTGATTTGAAGTGGATTATATGAGTCTCCGCTGACAGATAATGTGGGATAAGACTTTCTCTCCCCCCAGGGAGTGTACCTCAGGAATGGGCCAATTTGGGCCCTCCAGGTGTTTTGGACTCCAACTCCCATCATTCCTAACAGCCACTGAGGGGGAAAAGGAAAAGGCCTGAGGCTGTTAGGAATGGTGGAAGTTGGAATCCAAAACACATGGAGGGTCCAAACTGGCTGAGGGGAAAAGGAAAGGGCCTGAGGCTGTTAGGAATGGTGGGAGTTGGAGTCCAAAACACCTGGAGGGCCCAAATTGGCTGAGGGGGGAAAGGCAAGGTCCTGAGGCTGTTAGGAATGGTGGGAGTTGGAGTCCAAAACACCTGGAGATCCCAAATTGGCTGAGGGGGGAAAGGAAAGGTCCTGAGGCTGTTAGGAATGGTGGGAGTTGGAATCCAAAACACCTGGAAGGTCCAAATTGGCTGAGGGGGGAAAGGAAAGGTCCTGAAGCTGTTAGGAATGGTGCGAGTTGGAGTCCAAAACACCTGGCGGTCCCAAATTGGCCCATTGAAGGGCCCAAGTTGGCCCAGGCCTGGCCTACCTAGGTCTCCTCCTCCTCCTCTTTCCACGATAAACATTGCATCATACACCACGCTGCTTGCCGCCCTGCAAAATGGATGCCTACCTACCGCCGAGCATGTGGCCGAGGCTCTTCAAAAAACACCGGCTTGACGGTTCTGTATTAGGCCAAAAACCTGGGAGCGGGAAAAAATATAAACAAACACAACCAGACACGCGTGTGCTCCCTTCTCACGTGCAGAGGCAGAGGGGGTTCCTTTCCAGGGAAGCCCAATCTGTCAGGAGGAGAAAGAGAAGGCCGGCCAGCCTGAGGCGATTACTTTCAATCCTCAATACTCACCCTTCTTCTTTTTGTTGTTGTAGTGTGAGGTGAGGTGAGAGGTTCCTCTCGAAGGTGAAAGCGGTGACAGGAGGGCAAAGAACGGCAAGGCTTGGAAGCGAGGCGGAAGAGCTTCCCTCAGGCTGACTGGAAGCGGCGTGGCTGCAAGCGGACCCGGAGACCGACCTCGTTTTCTTACAACTGCGCTTCCGCTCGCTCCTCCCCGAACCCTTGGCGTGGCACGCTCAGCAGTGAATGAGAGGGAGGAGGCCAGGATTGGCCGGCTAGCCTGAGGGAGGCGGGGCTTAACCAGCGATCGGCTGTCTGGAGCAGTCACTCAAGGGCCATCCCCGCCCTCTTTTTCTTCCCCCCCCCCCTTCACAAGCTCTTGGTTGCCTCATTAGGGGCGAGGAGGTGGTCGAGGGAGGAGGCTGAAAGGGGCGGGAAAAGAAAGCGTATGGTGAGAGGAAGTGTTTTTGTTATTTTACTTAAGCAGTGCCATGTGCAGCTCAATGCCATGTGCAGCTAGATGCAGGAGAAACGTCAGGAGGGAATGCTTCTGGAACATAATAATAATCCAGTCACTGACCAACACATAATAACATCTTGCCAGTAGAACAAAAAGGCAATAAAAGAAGTAGGGGCACAAAAGATCAACTTCTAATTGACAAAATGATACTGGAGAATTGCAAAAGCCGCAAAACAAACCTCTATACAACTTTGATTGATTACAAAAAAAAATGCAATGAAACAATGGAAAACTGAGTTGTTCATGGGCAACGAAAGATATGGAACTGTTAACAGAGAGAGAGGAATTTTCCAGGGTGACTCACTGTCACCACTTCTGTTCATCATCGCAATGATCCCACTGTCAGTAATTATACTGAAAACAAACCCAGGATACCAAACAGCAAGAAATTCACCAAAAAGTTCCCACTTGCTGTACATGGTTGATCTAAAGCTTTATGGAAAATCAGAAACTGAAATCGAGCCACTAACCAATACAGTCAGAATCTTCAGCACTGACATCAGTCTGGAGTTCGGCCTAGGCAAATGTGTCACAGTAGCATTAAAGAAAGGGAAAATTACAGCGAGGGCATAGAGATGCCAAACGGACAAACCATAAAATGCAATCAGCCTGAAGTCTAGTAATAATAATACTAATAATAAACTTTATTTATACCCCGCCACCATCTCCCCAAAGGGGACTCGGAACGGCTTACATTAGGCCAAGCCCAGCGATACATTACAGCAAAATACAATATAAACAACAAAATAATATCACAATAAAGCCATTCAAGTAAAATAAACAGTGCAAAACAACATAATGGATAATCAAACACTGTGGGCGGGCCAAACACACAACATAAAATGATAAAACTCTGGAAGAGATAGCAATGAAAAAGGTATATTTGTGGGGGAGGAGCTTGTAGGGGACGGAGCAGTGGAGTTAGACTTTCAATAAGGTGGGAGGAAGTGCAATATGAGGAAAACAGAATATATGGTCACTCTCCAAAGGCGCATCAAAAAAGCCAAGTTTTTAGATCTTTCTTAAAGGCTGCTAGGGTAGGGGCTTGCCTAATTTCACCAGGTAGCAAGTTCCATAGCCGGGGGGCCCACAGCAGAGAAGGCTCTCTCTCTCGTTCCCACAAGTCGTGCCTGTGATAGAGGAAGGGGCAAAAGGAGGGCATACTACAGTTAGACAATATCAAGCATGAGCAGGGGGGGAAATGTGGTCAGCAAAGAATATGTCCAAAGAGTCAGAAAGGTTTTGAAGAGCAAATTAAACGGCGGAAATACAATCAAGGCTATCAACACCTGGGCCATCTCCGTCATTAGATACACTGCTAGAATTGTGAACTGGACACAAGCAGAGCTGGATGATCTGCACAGAAAAACAAGAAAACTGATGACAATCCACTACTCATCACACCCGCATAGTGATGTCAACAGACTTACCTGTCCAGAAAATCAGGAGGGAGAGGGCTTCTGCAAGTGAAAGAAATGGTTGTTGTTGTTCATTCGTTCAGTCGTCTCCGACTCTTCGTGACCTCATGGACCAGCCTCCGCCAGAGCTCCCTGTCGGCCGTTACCACCCCCAGCTCCCTCAAGGTCAGTCCAGTCACTTCAAGGATGCCATCCATCCATCTTGCCCTTGGTCGGCCCCTCTTCCTTTTGCCTTCCACTTTCCCCAGCATAATTGTCTTCTCTAAACTTTGCTGTCTCCTCATGATGTGGCCAAAGTACTTCAACTTTGTCTCTAGTATCCTTCCCTCCAGTGAGCAGTCGGGCTTTATTTCCTGGAGGATGGACTATTTGGATCTTCTCGCAGTCCAAGGCACTCTCAGAACTTTCCTCCAACACCACAGCTCAAAAGCGCCTCTCTTCCTTCGCTCAGCCTTCCCTAAGGTCCAGCTCTCACATCCGTAGGTGACTACAGGGAATACCATGGCTTTGACTAGGCGGATCTTTGTTACCAGTCTGATGTCTCTACTCTTCACTATTTTATCGAGACTGGACATTGCTCTCCTCCCAAGAAGTAAGCGTCTTCTGATTTCCTGGCTACAGTCTGCATCTGCAGTAATCTTTGCACCTAGAAATACAAAGTCTGTCACGGCCTCCACGGTTTCTCCCTATATTTTCCAGTTGTCAATCATTCTTGTTGCCATAATCTTGGTTTTTTTGACGTTTAGCTGCAACCCGGCTTTTGCGCTTTCTTCTTTCACCTTGATTAGAAGGCTCCTCAGCTCCTCCTCGCTTTCGGCCATCAGAGTGGTGTCATCTGCATATCTGAGGTTGTTAATGTTTCTTCCAGCAATTTTCACCCAGCTTTGCATTCATCAAGCCCCGCACATCGCATGATGTGTTCTGCATACACGTTAAAAAGGTTGGGTGAGAGTATGCAGCCTTGCCGTACGCCTTTCCCAATCTTGAACCAGTCTGTTGCTCCGTGGTCAGTTCTGACTGTTGCTACTTGGTCCTTGTACAGATTCCTCAGGAGAGAGACAAGGTGGCTTGGGATGCCCATCCCACTAAGAACTTGCCACAATTTATTATGATCCACACAGTCAAAGGCTTTAGAATAGTCAATGAAGCAGAAGTAGATGTTTTTCTGAAACTCCCTGCCTTTCTCCATTATCCAGCGGAGATTGGCAATTTGGTCTCTCGTTCCTCTACCTTTTCTAAACCCAGCTTGAACATCTGGCAACTCTCGCTCAATGTATTGCTGGAGTCTTCCTTGCAGGATCTTGAGCATTACCTTACTGGCATGAGAAATAAGGGCCACTGTACGGAAGTTTGAGCAGTCTTTCGCATTTCCCTTTTTTGGTATGGGGATATAAGTTGATTTTTTCCAGTCTGATGGCCATTCTTGTGTTTTCCATATTTGCTGGCAAATGGCATGCATCACCTTGACAGCATCATCTTTTAAGATTTTAAACAGTTCAGCTGGGATCCCGTCGTCTCCTGCTGCCTTGTTGTTAGCAATGTTTCTTAAGGCCCATTCAACCTCACTCCTCAGGATGTCTGGTTCTAATTCATTCACCACACCGTCATAACTATCCTCAATATTATTATCCTTCCTATACAGATCTTCTGTATAGTCTCGCCACCTTCTCTTGATCTCTTCAGCTTCTGTTAGGTCCCTGCCATCTTTGTTTCTTATCATGCCAATTTTTGCCTGAAATTTACCTCCAATGTTTCTAATTTTCTGGAAGAGGTCTCTTGTCCTTCCTATTCTGTTGTCTTCTTCCACTTCCATGCATTGCTTATTTAAAAATAGTTCCTTATCTCTTCTGGCTAACCTCTGGAATTGCGCATTTAACTGGGCATATCTCTCCTTTTCACTGTTTCCTTTTGCTTTCCTCCTTTCTTGGGCTACTTCCAGTGTCTCAGCAGACAACCATTTTGCCTTCTTGGTTTTCTTTTTCTTTGGAACGTACTTTGTTGCCGCCTCCTGAACAATGTCGCGGACTTCTGTCCATAGTTCTTCTGGGACTCTGTTTACTAAATCTAGTCCTTCAAATCTGTTCTTCACTTCCACTGTATATTCGCTAGGAATGTTAGTGAGATCATATCTAACTGGTCTGTGTATTTTCCCTGATCTCTTTAGTTTTATTCTGAATTGGGCAATAAGAAGTTCGTGATCTGAGCTACAGTCAGCCCCAGGTCTTGTTTTCACCGACTGGATGGATGTCCGCCACCTTTGGCTGCAAAGGATGTAGTCAATCTGATTTCGGTGTTGACCGTCTTGTGAGGTCCATGTGTAAAGCCGTCTTTTAGGTTGTTGGAAGAGAGTATTCGTTATACACAGCGAGTTTTCCTGGCAAAATTCTATCAGCCTGCGTCCTGCTTCATTTTGTTCTCCCAGACCATGCTTGCCTGTGATCCCAGTTGTCATTTGACTTCCCACTTTGGCATTCCAGTCTCCTGTAATGAAAATAATGTCTCTTTTTGGTGTATTATCCAGTAGGTCCTGCAGATCCTCATAGAACTGATCTACTTCTGCTTCTTCAGCAGCTGTGGTTGGGGCGTATATTTGGATCACTGTAATGTTGAAAGGCTTTCCTTGCACTCGAATTGAGATCATTCTGTCATTTTTTGGGTTGTATCCAAGCACCGCTTTAGCGAATTTCTTATTAATTATGAAGGCTACTCCATATCTTCGATGTTCCTCTTGTCCGCAGTAGTAGATCTGGTGGTCATCTGATGTGAAGTGGCCCATTCCAGTCCATTTCAGTTCGCTGACCCCCAGAATGTCTAAATGGTAAAATAAGAGAAATATACACTGGCAGATTATGTGAAAGAGGGTCAGGAACCAACATTGAGGGAAGTCAACAGTAGTAAACTGCTTAAAGTGCAAAAGACAAAGAGCAAATACCATAAAAACACAATCCAGAGCAGAAGAGAAAACTGGCAAAAGAAGGCTCTCCATGGACAGTTCCTGGGAAAAATTGAGAGCCAAATTGACAAAGAAAAAACATGGGTGCAAAGTCTCTTTGAATTTCTTTTTGGCCACCAAGAATTTGAGTATTCTGACTTATGGGGGGTCCTTATGGGGGTCTGAACTGCAGGCATGATATCCTCAAAGCATTGGAAGGCCTTCTCAGTGCTTTCCTTCACAGGACCATCAACTTCCACAAGGCTCTGGGGCTTCAGCCTCAATGAGGCCCTGAACCTTGTCGTATCATTAAAGCTCCATTTATATCAACATTACCATCCTTTATATTATTATTACCTCCGCTCTATAAAG